AAATTGTAATAAAATCCTTAATTTACAAATTATAAAATGGAATATCATATCACCGTAGTTCTGGTTCTAGAATATTTTCTAAATATGGTATTTAAAAATTTACAATATGTATGTTGCAAATTAATATTTTTGTGATGTAAGAATTTGCGGTAATTATTGTGCCCGCCCTTCTATGGACTTAAACTATTTCTTCAAGTCCAGCTTTCTTTAGAAATTATACCAATAAATCCATATTATAGAGTTTTATTTTCTCACATGATATGATCATCAGATTCATCAGTGCCGGGCTAACTCCTGGCAATTTTGTAGTTTTAATTGTTCAACATTATACTTAGTTCTACATAATTCCTAAACGGTTTTAGGTTGAGAGTTCTTGTAAGTGATTCCGATTGTGATATCACTGATAGATTATACTAGCATATTTTTTTTCAATTTTTATTTGTCTCTAAATGGGTGAAAATAAATAACCTACTCCTTACCCACAGAATGGGTCTGGGACTACTTGCACTGATGCTGTTCATCTTCTAGGAAGTCTGTCTGAAATTCTATTGTCGGAAACTCTAGCGTATCACGGTTTTGGACAAAGATATTCAGTTTTTCGAACTATTTTCATTGGATTTATTCGTGTCTATAGTGTTGTATAGCAACATCAGTATAGATAAGGCTATAACGTGACAAAATAGTTCGATTTTAAGGTTTATTTACCCAACGGGAACTAAGCTAAGAAAACTCTTTAAACTCTAATAAGCCTTTTGTAAAGTTGAGGTGTGAAGTTTATAGATTGATTGAAGTTAAATTAATGAACTAGTAGTTTTTGAAACGAAAGCAAAATAGAGTATTGACTTTGAAGAGAAGACAATGAGGAATACAAGATAAGGCACAGCAAATCGGGCTATATTACTTGATGAATGGATATACTGTTATAGAAAACTCGAAGAAGCATATCCGATATCCGTGAAGCACAAAGAAAGAGGTGGTTATGTTATAAAAATCGGACGAATGAAGGTACCTCTATTTAATATATGCTTACTGTCAATACGAAAAAGTTCACTTTGAAATAGATAGGTTTATTAGAAGAATGGTGGGTAACAGATAGAGTAAAATTTTTACCAGCAGCTTACGCGAGAGAAGAAAAAAAATTGGACTATTACACAGAAGAAGCAATACAAAAGTAAAAGCGATGGGTTAGGGAGAATAGACGTCTGTAAGTGGATTGAAGCAGCAAATAATCATTTTATAATATTATATATATTATAGTATTCTAATACATATTTTAAGAACTGTCACACTACCAAAGAAGAAGAAAAAGAAGTTGCTCCTGTTTGTGTGATAATTTAAATAAATTTTGATATAATAGCACGTGACACAATCGTTTCAATTATGTATGAGTGACATTCTTTGGTTTTGTCAACTTCTCATTCAATTATTACCATAACATTAAGTTAAAGTCATTAGGCCAATTCTTCCTCAACTCAAAAAGTAGGTCATTCAATTCAAAATAAGCACAAACCACAAATACAAAATTAAATTAATCAGTTCAATTGATGTGTAGAGCAAAAATGTTTAAGCCAGGATTACAAGTTAGTTTTGAGTGCATCCAAAAAGATTGCTTACATTGTCTGAAAACAAAAAATATAAAATGAAAACCACAAATAAATAACATGTGCTGGATGCTGCTAAAAATAAGTACAGATTGTGAAAAATAAATCTTAAACTGCAGTTACATCCGATCAGGTTTTTTTCTTTACCCTTAGCCCATTTAACATATTGTAGCAGCTGATTCAAGACATGCTTTGAGGTTTAAGGATTTAAGAAACCGTGCCCCAAAGTCAATTTTATAAGCGATTTGCCGTCAGTTGGCAGTTGCTAAATAACGGTTTTTATGTCTTAAATCCGAAAACTTTAACAAGGATGCTGCTGCCGTTCAATTCTTTTGTGGTCACCTTAATGCCAACGTGTTAAACTAATCTTTGACTGCCATTTAAGATCATGTTGGTCTTCTTGTTGATCGCAGTGGATTCTCCAACTGTTGTAGTCACTTTTCTTCTTATGATGATTTAATTGTGCGGTAGTTTTAATTTGTTAATTTCGTTTTAATATTTGCGAGTACCTCAGAGAGCGAATAAAAAGAAAAAGCTAGTTTCGGCATATTTATTTTCGTTTTAATTGAACTGTGGTTGAAATTGGGTTAAAAATTCTTATCGGCCAGTTTTGCCAATATGGCAATTTATTTAATGTAAATTATAACGGAAATGAGCAAATGTTTTTATTTGCTTACTTATCGCCATATTAAAGTCAATCAAAGTAACAGCTGCTATAAATTGCTAAAATTTGTGAATATTCACTAAATGAAAAACTTTACTGAGATGATACAGTAAAGTCATGAAAGCAGTCAAGCAAGATAGAAAGTAATGGGACTCATATAGATCTCGATTCAGAATAGTGTTTCTGTTTAAACTTATGGTATTTTTAAGTATTAAAGATCTCTAAAACAAGATAATACAGTTTGCCGTGTAACGTTTCAAATGAATGAGATTCAGATACTCGTATATGAATCCACAAAATGTGAATTTCTTAAACCTATAGGCAGAAGAGCAAACATTTTTTAAGAATAGTGAATAAATTAAACATTGTATGAAAGTAATTTACTATTCAAATTGCGAATGAATATGTTACCTTAATGTTGTCTTTTTCCTTACTAATATAACATACATTTGCAATTATATTTGTTTTATTGTATTTAATAGTGAATAGTAAGGAAACGAATAGATTTCGAGTAGATTGAATGCTCCAAAAGCGAGCAAATGAAATTAAAACAAACAAACTTAAAATTGAAGTGACTTGTACGGAGAGTGACTAGTGAAAATTACTGTTTAAATAACTGAGAAAATGACCTAGAAATATTCACTTGAAATGTTTATTAACTGTTAAATTAACAGAAAGAAAATGGTTTCTAAATAAGTATAGTTAAGTGTTATTTCTTATTGACCGTTTGTTTCATTCGAACTAACTACTGGTACCGATTTTAAAGAGGACAATTAGGGTTACGAAGACTTTTGTGTGGGTTAGATATAATATTTTCTATTTAAATTCGTGTTTAGTCTCCTATTCTACCGGCTGACGATTTGTTCTTATCTTCAACTAATAGAACGATAGCTTACAAACAATTAGAATGCATTGAATGTAAAATTGGATTTGAAACGATTCGGAGTATCTGAACTGATATGTTTTCGATACAGTTTTTTAAAAAATCTTTGGAATAAGTTATTTCATACGATGCGATGTGAATATCACATCTAATATACATTAACGTCGATTTTATTAGATTCATTCAATGGCTACTAACTTACAAAACAAAATATTTTATGATTAATATTTTAGAATTTTTTTGACACAATTTATATTAAAATAATTTTAAAGAACTTCGAAGAGAACTTTGAAGTACCCTTAATCTCTATAAAACTAAGTTACATTATAGGGAAAAAGATAAAATTTTGAATCCATAAGTATACCGATTACATAAATATATCTTATACATATTACTCGATGAGAACAAACAAGTTCTCTTTAAGGTATAAATCTACTTAAAAATCAAGAAAGTAAAGCTTTCCATATGTAATAATCGCTGTCATGACATATATGTCAACTACTATTCCCCAAGGATTAGCACTTTCCTTGATTACGCGGCATTTGACATCGATACTAACAAGCAGATCCAAACACCGATGCTTTCCACAACTTTTGCTTCAGGCGTTCACTTAATTTTCCCAATTTCGTCAATAAAAACGTGAGGGCGTTTATTTAACAACTACGACGTGCTTCACTTTTAATACCTAATAGTTCCACACCCATTTACCATTTGTTTGCGGAAATGTTTATCTGTTATTTATACTTTTATGTTTGTCTTCCCCAACCCTTAATGCTTTTACCTAAATGTTGCTCATTTTGTTTTATTATTTTGTGTGTGCACTTAAAAGCCCACTCAATTAAGTCCTACACTTGTTGTTGCGATGACACCATTGTTCTGAAGTCCCCCAAAACTGAATGGAATGACTGTACCAGCAAATACCAATCATCAATGACACATTTAACACGTAATCTCATTTTAACCACGCGCATCCAATTACCACCCTCAATTTTCTCCACAATTCTTAAATGACTTGTTTCAGATACTTTTACACTTTACTTCACTCTGTGAAAGATACTTTCGGAAACATGTTTTTATTACACAAATTTGTATTTGATGGATTGTGTACGCATTTAATTAACTTTTCGCTTAAGAAAGGAGACGTTGAATAATTATGTTTAAAACGATTCAATGCAAGGGTGAAGGAGTTTTCAAAACATAAGGTTGGAACAATTAGTTCGGGTTTCCATTGCAAATATTTATTTTAAAGATGCAAACACTTAAGGTTAGATAAGTATTGTAACGGAAATTTGTTAAGAAAATTTAATTTTCATTTATCAGTAAGACACAAAAAATTCTGCAAAAATTATAGGTTAAAGCGTTGTAGGTATCGAAAGTATCTACAGTTTCTCATACAACCAGTACAGCC